CACACACACACACACACACACACACACACACACACACACACACACACACACACCCACACACACACACACGCACGCACGCACGCACGCACGCATGCACGCACACATACACACACGCACACACACATACACACACACGCACACACATCGCCATTATACCTCCCAAACACTTCGAGAGTTGAAAATGTTGGGGGCCCATTTTGCCCCCAAATATTTTTGGATATTGAAAATTTTAGGGGGCCCATTTTGCCCCCCCCCTCCCTTATATAATAATGCAACGTGGCGCTTCGTGATGAAAACTGGAAAAATTACAGTTTCAGATTGTAATTATTACAGATTTTCTAAGAATTACATTGTAGAATGTAATATTTACATTGAAAGCTCTGGATATTAAATTAAAAAATTGAATTTAGAAAAATGTTATTTCAAACTGTAATTTGTCTAGTTTTGATTATGACGGGACCGATTTTACATTTTATGCTGGTAATTTTTCGAGTAATAACGGTTAAAAAATATTTATTAAGAGTAAATTACAAAATAAAGAACAAAACAAAGATATAATAAAAAAGCTGCAGCCTAAAATTTCTCACATCTGTTACACTAAAAACCCGAATTAACTTCGCTAACCTTATCAAAATTCCAATTAAGTAACAAAGCTCTCCACCTTAGTAAATAACACGGAAACATCAGCATATCATTAAATTTATCTTTATACCTTCTCATATTTATGAGCTCTGATAGTAATAATAAAAATAACAATAATAATAATAATAATAATAAATTTAGCGTAATAATTAAAGCAGTTTATGAGAATCTAATAAGCAGGAATATGCATACGTAGATAGATAAGTTCATCGACCCCTTAGACCACCGGTGGGCAATGTTCCGTCGTTTCACAAGATTATGCAACCTTGTGAATAGCCGAGTACTCTAGTTCAGAGTACAGCTCCTATCCAGTTGAACTAAAACAACATACAACATAGAACAGCGTTCATGTATATCATTATCATTCAAAATAGGACGTAATGCGGAATATGTAGCCCAGAAATCCGAAGCTTTCATCTCGGCATCAACTACAACTACTGTGTATGCAATTTGTAATGTTATGTATGTACCTATGTACGGGATGAGTTGAGATAGACCAAAATAACTGACACTTGTATTCTGCATTCTCCTTATTTTACACTTCTACATACTGTTGATAATATCTAAATCTGTAGTGGCCATTTGTGTTGTTGTTTATATAAAAAATAATTAATAATAATAATACTGATAATAATAATCATTATTAAAGCACCCAGATCACGTTTGTGGTAAGTTACCTTGCTACCGTAGAGATAGTAAAATCATTTATATCACCCTACTAGCGATAGTCCCAGTCCCCCCCGTCACGTCGGCTTCCTTTCTGGATTTTAAAAATGCAAATACCCATTTATCAATCCAACAAAAAGCAGCGCCTGAAAGACCTTTACAGTCAATAACTCTGAAAGCTTACAAGTTACAAGTCACTTTAAGCATTAAAATGCTTGCTCTCTTTTTAATTGCCCTCTTTTTTTGGGGCGAACTTTTTTTTGTTAACGCCTGGGTCATTAAGGTCGATCTTGATGACAACGGGCTTCGGGAAACTCCTGAAGAAAGGTTTAATTTTATCTTTCCAGGTAAAGTTTTTGCTAAAATAACTTAAATAACGTTCGTAATTTTGTTTAACTATTAGTTATTATTCTAAGTATATATTTTAAAGTAAAATAACCTTAAATATAAATTCGATCGAAAAAATTAATAAATTATTTATTCTTATCCATTTAAAATCTATTTTTTCAAAAATAATTTTCCAATTGTCCGATAATAATAATTTTATTTCTAGTTTTCGGTAAGCTACATTAAATTTTTTTTTTTTAATTTTACTGGAAACTCCGGTAAATTTTACTGATATAAATTTTACAAAGTATTGCTGTTATTAATAAATGATAAATTTAACGGTAAATTAAAAAATATTTCTTTCCGTTTCTGTATAGACTTACATAACAAATTACAAACTGGGCCCATAACTTTCTATTCATAATATGAATTGGTTGTATTCAAATGACTAAATACACACTAAAATTAAAAAATTAATCCTTTAAGCTCTGTTTATGATGAAGTCCTTTGTGTTAGATAATAAATCTCCGTAAGACGGTAGTTTCCAGTCAATCTCCTTGTTTGTGTTCCATAAAATCAGACTTAGGTTAAAGCCCCAACATACATATAATAAGACCTTCCATTAAATTTAGAGCTAAAATGTAAACACCAATAAGACTAAAAACAATGAAACTCATTGTAATAAAAACGAATAAAAAAGAAAAAAAAAAAGGACTTGACTGTGGGGTTTCAAAAAGAATCAAAAGGCGTTTAATGAACATTAAAATTCCGTTTTAGCGGAGGGATCCTCGCGTCAGTTTTATCTCCGTGGCTCTTATTTCGGTCTACCGTACCCAGTTATATCTCGGAAAAGGAATTGCCCTCATTACTCGGGTAGTGAGAATAATTCTACGGTTCTCGGTTCTCGAGTCGCAGTCTAGAATACAGAGATAGAAAGAGGGTAGAGCTGGTTAAATCTCTCACCCTGCTCGGTGGCGTTATATATAATGTTCATCTTAGGAACAAAGTGGTGCGGAAGCGGAACCATTGCGGAAGACTACAACGACCTGGGTTACTTCAGAGAAACGGATGCTTGCTGTCGAATGCACGACCACTGCGACGAGACGATCGAGGCCATGCAAACCAGACACGGGCTTACTAATCCTTCTTACTATACGAGGTTTTCTTTTTCTAGATATAAATTTACGCTTTTTTTAAATATATTTACAGTGGACAGGAATTTTTTATTTGTTGGATGTAGAGTTTATTTTTATTGATTTTGGTATGCATTTATTGTAAAATATCAGGTAATCAAAATTGGTCATTTTCAAACATAATCATATCTGGCAATAGATGAGAAAATGTTTCAAAGTTTCATTTTTTACAAAAAAAGTAAACTAAATACACTAAGAGAAAAAATTTCTCTTGAAAAAAATGAGCAATATTGTGACAAGAAATTAATTTGTTGAAATTTTTAAACAATTTTATTTCATAACTGAAAAAATAAAATTTTTTCTCACAGTAACTTGCTTTTTGAAAAAAATTTTTCTAGATTTGTGAAAAAACAATTTTTGATGAAAATTGGCAAGTTGTCTTACTAAAATTTTTTTTGTCCAAATCAAAAAACTTTTGTTCAACAAAGAAGTTGCCGTGAAAAAAGTTATTATTTCCTTTAGCTAAGAAATAAAATTGTTGAAAATTTTCAACTAATTAATTTTTTTTCACAACAGTGCTCATTTTTTCAAAAGAAATTATTTCTCTCAGTGTATTTGTGTAAAAATTACACCCATTTCACAAGTTTTTCGTTAAGAAATTAAACTTTTTTTTTTTGTAAATTGCATAAATTTCAACTTTAATGAGGAATATACTCGCTTTAGTCCCCCAATTCAATTTCTGATAATTTATTCGGGAGAGATAATTTTACAAAATATTAATAATCTTAGAATAATTCTATAATTTTTATAGTTATCAATGAAAAAAATTACTTAATATATCCATGTATGATCTGATATGCCTATATATAATTTCTTATCTAAAAATTAGTCATATTAGGCCATATATGCCCTAATATAATTTGCTATGCTTTCATGTAATTTTTCGACTAATAGTAATGTTGAAAATCTCCGACAGATGGCGTATGATGGCTGAATTTTCTCCCTCTCAGAGACTTAAGTTTCAAGTATTGTTATAAAATAAAAGGAACTCTTTTGAGTCCCTTCAGAAGCTTATTCGACACTTTTCCTTAGTGTAATCAAGTATTTATCCAATTTTTAATTAATTAAACATCTTAATTGACGTAAAAATTTGTATAAAAAATGAAAAATTCAAAAGTCATTTTTTTACTCTCGCATGTATGAAAATTAGCCGTATAAAAAATTTTTTTCACGGGTAATTTATACTTTCCTCAAAAATCAAAAATTTCTAATTTCTAAAAATTTTTTTTCTATAAATGACACTAACAACTGTAAAAATACCTATTATCACCCCATATCTCATAAAAATCATAACATAATTCATCCATCTCGACAATATTAAAACCGAATCAATAAAAATAAAAATAAACCTTCGTTCCAATAAGCAGAAAGCAATAGCCTTAAACTAGTCCAAGTATTCTTCCCAAGGGTTTTAAATTGTCCGTCTAAAAGCTCTAAAATAATAACAATATCCTTAAATAATATATCTAGGTCGTTTTATTACGTCTTTGTTATTTATATAGGGTACACTGTTCTTGTGATGAAAAATTTTACGACTGTCTTCATGGAACCGAGGAAAATATATCCACAAAAGTAGGAACTGTTTACTTCAGTGTCCTTAATACTCAATGTTTCCGGAAGGAGTTTCCGATAACATCTTGCAAAAAATACACGACGTAAGCCACTCAATAAATATTATTCCTCTAATTCAATAAAATATAATATATCATATCATAAGATAGCATAAAAAAATTTACAACCAAAACGAGGGTGCACTCGATAGCTTTGAAGAATATTTATATCTATACAACAAAATATTATCAGGTATCCGAAACGGTGCACGGAGTACGATCTGGATACGAGCCAAGATAAAATATACCAGTGGTTCGACGTGCCTCTTTACTGATCATCATTCAACTGGAATCAAGAGTACCGATGAGGAGAAAAGTACCACCTAGTCTGTTAACTTAAGCTATATATAAATAAAAACCTCTCTTTTCTACACGAGGATTGCCAGTTCACCGATACCGACGTAACACTCTGGATGAAAATTCACGTTAGTCTATGATAAAATCCAGATTTTAGAGCAGAGCCGGGGCTGGCGCTCACTTCTTCTAATAGAGCATCAATTGATTGACCGGAAAGCTTTAAAAAAGGCTACTTGTTTCAGCAATAACTCAATGATGAACACGTTTTATCGATACCTACTTTTTTAAGCTTTTTCAAAATTGTACTTTTTTAACTGTTATAATAAAGCATTTTTCGTTTTTTCTGCATTTTTCAATCAAATACCTCCAAATTCTAGATGAGAGCCTAAAAATTAAATTATTGATTATCGTTAGAATTCTACAACTCTACGGCTGCAAAGTTGATGATAAAATCCAACTATTGTATTGTTCTTCATTGTTCGTCAAGCATATTTGGAAATTTTTATATTTTAACTCGCTTTTATTAAATAATAATTCTAGTATTTTTTAAAAATTACTGGTTGTATAATTATTGAAATTTTTTATATTAATTGTAAAATTATGGTTGGAATTAACAGACATTTGACAACATTTACGAATCTTTTCAGCCACATGGATTACATTGTAAAGAAAATGTGGTTGATGATTCAAGTAATCTGAAGGACGAAACAATTAGAAGCTAGTCTCCGCCAGGTGTCGCATGTGCGAAAATACTGCTCAATGACGGAGAGTTAGGACGAAGCTATATATTTCCCATTTGAATGAACGTTTTTCGTCTGTTTGAAAATTCTGTAAGGATAAATGATACTATACATAATGCCATTACATCAGTTTTTTTGAAAATTTGAGATCTTCGTATCTTCGTTAATCTAAAAATAATTGTTCTTCCTAAAGGTCTACGGTGCTTCAGAAATTAGACACCAAATTTTATTTGAAAATTGCAAAATGAAAAAATTTCTTTATTTCAGATATTTGCCAAATCAAAGCTTCAAATTGACTATATGATAAATAACTTTTATTTATTTATTTTAATTACTTTGATGCCAAGGCATTGGCCGAACGGCAAACACATACAGTAATAGGTTTAGTATTTAATTTATCTAATAATTGTAATTTTAACAAGTGGAATAAAAAAAAAAGTTATAAGTGAATTTATAATATCGGGCACTAGTCCTTATTTAATACAAAATAGATTCAACATTAAAATATGAATATTTTAAAGAATAGCTCAAAATATAAATCAAAATATTAACAATATAAATTATATAATTCATATAAACCATATAAATCAAATAAATTAGCTCATTTTACAATCCTTAAATGGTAAAAATATCAATATTAGTTTTTACATAACAAGTAAAATTAATGGTCTAGGTTCAGAATGTATAGTTGAAGTTAGTAGTTAGCCATCTCTTTCTTGATTCAGGAAGGATTTAGAGGCACTGATTTTAAAGGTTTAATTGAACAGGTTTGTTAGTTGTGTTTGTTATCAAAGTGATAATTTTTGTCTGAATATTTAATAAAATTATCGAAATACTTTAATTAATTTTCATTCATAAAATTTTTCTTGACTTAGTTCAAAGTGTGCATTTGATAGGAAAATAACTATAATGACACAACATTTGTAATTTTTAATATTCTTAATCAACGAAATTTATTGCTTTTTTTTGAGAAAATTTTTAATTAAATGAATTATTCAACTAGTTATTTATATTCGCTTTTTTTATATTTAATTATTACAAATAAAGCAACAATTCGGCATTGAGAAATTAATTTTAATAAGTCTTGTTTGTGTTTTAGAAATAGTTTAAGCAATTACGATGTGAAAAGAAAGTTACAGGGCTTTCAGATGCTTATTAATCAGCTTTTGGAGTCATTAGTCATAAATCATAACTACAAATGCCCATTCATGTAATATTTCAATAAAACGGAAACTGATCGTCAGAAAATCTTGATGCAAGAGGAATAAGCTATTTAATTTGTTTAGCTTTGAAGATTTTTAACGAATACAGAATTGAATCGTTCATACTTTAGTTATCGACTTTATTTATAATTGAAAATTTAATTTCCTTCAAAAAAGGTCTCTTATCATTTATTTGTATCTTCAAAATTACTTTCGTAATTTTGATTTGAAATCTTGAACATTGATCCTGATTAATATTTATTTTTTCGAAAGACTGTTGTTTTTTATAATACTTTATATTTTTTTAGTTTATTGGCTGTCCAGTCTAATACAACAATTTTTTTCTCTAATTTTTCGGAATATTGTTAGCCTGTATTTCCCTCCAGGCATAAACAATTTATCCTCAATTTATATCGAAATTCGCCATTAAAGATAAATTTTGACTGAAAAAATAATTCGGACAGCCCAGACCAGGACTCGAACCTGGATCTTTTGGTTCTGATCCTGATATCAATAATTTGTATGTAGCGACTGCACGAAAAAATTATTTATTAAATATTAAAATTAAAATTGTCAGTAAGCTATCATTGATACGAGAAAGTTGATACCTTTTGTTGTAAAAGGACAAATTTTACCGCAAAAATGGTTTTTTTATCATTTTTTTGGATCTTCCATATTTCATTCGTAATTCTGATTACAATTCGTTATCATACATATCTCCTGTATTTTAGTTGAAATTTAAGTTCCTAAATTTTTAAAAGTTAATTTTCTTGATTGACGAGTGAATTTATTGAATTAATTTAAACTGAATATTAAATTTAAAAAAATCAAAAATCACTATCACTATCACTAGCCTAAAATCTTCCCTTACAATCTAAAAAATTATTGTCCTAATAATTTTTCCAGCAAACAAAAACCTATCAACCTCCAAACTCGATACTTGAAAGCAAACAATTTTCCACAAAAAGCTTTAGCTCTCAAAATAAACTAAACTCCTTCCAACAATAACCTTCTCTATCAATCGAACAGAAAATCCCTTATAAAAGCAGTAAATAACAAAGTAAACATTTATTTTCCAGGTGCAGCTGGCTCAGTGGAAGTCCACTTCGAGAACAAAGACGGTGGATTTTTCCTAAAGCACACACCGAGGCAATACTACCCCTCAAGGAACCCGGACAACACAATGTCACCCAGCCCATTCGGGCAGGGAACAAGCGTGACATCTTCATCATCCTCCTCCTCGACACCATCTAGTTCAATCTTATCGATCGATAAGTTCACCGTCTTCCAAACCAGTGAGCCAGCATCTGTCCGCGCCACCTACGGGCCGTTCAGTACAAAACAAACAGTTCCAGCGCGTTATATAGTTCCCGATCCCTTGGAAACTCTACCGGGTCCAGAAATGAGACGAAATGTGACAGCTTCTTCAAGCTTAGCGATGATGGACGTCCAGGATTTGGGAGCCAGGCACTTGGACATGTCGGCCCACTTAGTGGGCGCCAGCGTGTCTCGAGATTCTCCAGTTCTGAGGGTCCTGTTCCATGCAGGAAGCGAAGCGGGAGGTAGAAGACAGTTATTGGCCCGCCACCAGCGCGTTTGTGTCCTGTTGCAAGCTTCTCTTCCCGGAAAGAACCCGCTAACAGCCGCTTGCAGTCCCGATGGCGAGGACGGCGTCTGCTTGGCCCAGATCACAATTCCCGCCGATTGGTGGCCCCCTCTGCCGGCCCCAGACTCTTTAGGACACGTGAAATTGACCAAAACTCCTCCCAGGCTGGTCCAGGTTGCTTACTCTGTGCTTGAACCAAGAACTGTGGTTCTAAGTGACGACATGCCCTTGGATGGCGCCAGAACTGTTTCAGCGACCCCTGAGACCTCTGGCGGAGGTTGCCGGCCCAGGGTCCAGATCCAGCCTGTTACGCCTCTGGGTAAGATTCCGCTGACGCCCAATCGCGCGGAGTACAAGGAAATAAAGGGTGATGACTCTTTGATGCTGCTGGTGCCTCACGGACCGCTTTATCCCAGGTCGAGATTGCACGTCCCGGTGTTTCTTTATCTAAAAAATTCAATTGCCGATACGACCGGGTCCTCGATTGAAGATAAAGATGCTTTAGGACCTCCCATTGTTGCTGTTGTTCTCAGGTAATTTTTTTTTTTGTTTATTTTTGAAGGGGAGATAAGGTTAATTGTCAATAAATTTCCTTAGGGAGTAGCTGGAGGTTACTTTTTTTGCCCTTTCTTTGTAATTAAGTTTGATTGTAGATAAAATTTGAATCAATTTTTTAAGCGGAAAGTTGCAAAATGAAATTATATTTTTTTTTATGGTTTTAAAAATTTTCTATGGAGGGAAACTTACTTTTCATTTTCTTAGTAAATTTTTACACTTCTAAGTTAATTTATGGAATTTTTCCTATTTTATAGTTCTAGTCGCTGGAAAAGTTTCCGGTAATGTAGTTTTGAGATCTTTAAGTGTCATTTTCTCTGTTATACAGCTGATTACATTTTGGACTCGATTGATACAGTAGTTTAGAAAGTTTTTAAGATTCCTCAAAATTTATCAAGCTGAACTTGGGGATTGTAGAATTCGACGCAGTTTTTCAACCACAAATATAATAATAATATAATAATATTTTATTGCCAGTAAAAAAAAACAGATACATAAAATACATATTACAATAAAGTGAGTATGCATTAATATCTGTCCTATAGAGATGTTTTACATCTGTAGATAGGACTGGAACAGTATACATAAATCCAAGAAGAACGTATAGTTAAATAACATAGTAATACTTATTTGACTATCATAAACTGTTTTATATATTATATATTAATTTGTATTATCCATTTTGTTAATTTACTTTTAATTGATTTTTTGCTGCAATCTAGTTTTTTAAGTTCTTGTGGCAGTTTGTTGTAATACTTGATAGAAATATAATTTGAGCTTTTACTTGATATAGTTTTGCTTCGTTTAGGCAGAGGGATCAGTCTATTTCTAGTATTTACCTCAGTTTTCTCAAAACTAGTCTTACAATCATTATA